AGCCTCTTAAAGGAACTAGCTCTTCAACCTCTTATTTTTAGTCCCTGAGACTCCATTCAAACTTCTGTCCTCCAGAACTATGAGGGGATAAATTTCTGTTATTTTAAGCTACCATGTTTCAGATAACTTGTCACAGCAGCCCTAGGAAACTAATACTTGTAGGAAGAAACCCACCATCTTATCTAGTAAGAATGAAAATTGACCAGATAATCCTGAGATGGCAGCATAGGTAAAAGCCTATACTCACTGCCTCCCACAACCACATCAAAATTACAACTAAAATACAGAATAACCATCATCCAGAACAGATTGAAAGCTGCTGAATGGAAGTCCTACCACTAGAGAAGTAAAGAAGAAAGCACACAGAGACTGGTAGGAGGTGCAGAGGGGCAGCAGAGTGGGCTGGGCTGGCACCCAAGTGCGCCACTTTTTTAATTGAGAGGGAAATCATCTCTGCAAAGGCCACTGGAGGAGCAAGGGATGCACCTAAAGTGCCCAGCTCAGGTGTTTCCCCGAAAATAAGACATCCTCTGAAAATAAGACCTACTTACAGGTTTCCTTCTGAGTGAAATATAAGGCATCCCCCCAAAAATAAGGCCCCCCTAGGCTAAACATGAGAGATTTGGTCCACTGATTCTGAAAGAAATGGAGTCACAAGAAATTCAGGAAATTCAGGAATTGGATTGTTATGATGATGTTCCAGAAGATGATGACATGATTGTCATTGAATAAATGAGTAAATTCTTGATAGTGTAGGATTCACAGTTTGTCTGGTTTGTGTTGACAACTACCGGACTATAGTACGGTATACAGGTAATAAATTTCCTTTATTTTCATTTAACAATAAATGTGTACTGTATTCTTCTTCATGGAAAAATAAGACATCCCCTGAAAATAAGACCTAGTGCATCTTTTGGAGCAAAAATTAATATAAGACACTGTCTTATTTTCGGGGAAACAGGGTAGAACACCAACTACATAAGGCCACTCTACCAACTCAAGGAAACATAGTAGCTCTACCCAATATAAAGAAACAAACTTAGCCAAAATGCAGACAAAGAAACATGTCACAAATTAAGGAAACAGAAGAAAACAAACTATTGAATATAGAGTTCAAAACTCAAGAATCTTCTTAGAAACCTCCAAAAAAATGGAAACGGACCAGTCAGAAATTAAGCATACACTGACTAAAATAAAGAGTAATATATAGGGACTCCACAGTAGAGTAGAAGATTCCGAGAATCAAATCAATGACTGAAATATGAGGAAGTAAAAAACACCCAATCAGAAGAGCAAAAAGAAAAAAGGAATTTAAAAAAATATGAGGATAGTGTAAGGAGCCTCTGGGACAACTTAAAGCATACCAACATTTACATTATGGGAGTGCCAGAAGAAGAGAGAGAGCAAGATATTGAAAACCTATTTGAAAAACTTCCCCTACCTATTAAAAGAAATAGATTTACAAGACCAGGAAGCATAGAAAGTGCCAAGCAAAAGGAACCCAAAGAGGACCACACCAAGACACATCATCATTAAAATGCCAAGGGCTAAAGATAGAGAATCTTAAAAGCAGCAAGAGAAAATCAGTTTGTTACCTACAAGGGAATGCCTATAAGACTGTTAGCTGATTTCTCAACAGAATCTATGCAGGCCAGAAGGAAGTGGCAAGAAATATTCAAAGTAATGAATAGCAAGGGCCTACAACCAAGATCGTTTTACCCAGCAAAGCTATCATTTAGAATTGAAGGTCAGGTAAAGATTTTCCCAGATAAGAAAAAGCTAAAGGATTTCATCACCATGAAATCAGTATTAAATGAAATGTTGAAGGGCATTCTTTAAGAAGAGGGAGAAGAAAAAGAAAAAGATAAAAAATATGAACAACAAAATGAAAACAAATACATACCTATCAAAAATTGAATCTAAAAATAAATGAATAAGAAATATAATGAACAGAATAAACTGATGAATAAAATAGAATCAGAGGCATGGAAATGGAACAGACAGAGGATTCTCAGAGGGAGGGAGGTGGGGGGCAGGAAGAGATTAACCATGTATGCATTACCTATGGACAGACAACAGGGTGGTGACAGCCTGGGGCAGGGAGGGAACTGGGTGGAGAGGGGCAATGGGAGGGGGGGGGGGAAAGAGGGATATCTATAATCATAAATATCTTTTTAAAAGAAAGAAAATAGGCGAGCTGCATGGATTGTAGGAAACTAAGAGAGGCATAACACAAGAACACCCAGAAGCTTTTTGTCCTTAGAGCCCTGATGTCACTGTTGAGACTCTAACATGAGATTGCAGTGGGAACTGAGGTGAGAAAGTTCTATGAGGGAATTCAGGTGGCCAAACCCAGAAGGAAGACATTACTCCACACACTGCTGAGTGCTGTGGCAAACCACCTACAGGAATCAATACTTGATACCACAACTATATGCTCCAACCACAACCGCCCGCAGTCGAAAGGTCTAGGCTTGGAAGCTTGCCTTCAGAACCCACCAGATTCCTAGATTCTTATAGAACTACAGCTCTAGCTCTCCCACTGCATCTGCTGCTGTGCCAAGGAAGGACCATGTTCTGCTCTAATTGTCCAGAACATCCTAGAAAACCCTGCTTAAACAAACCAGTCTGTGTTGTGGGTCAGGAGAGCAAAGGTACCTAAGCCAGCATTTCCCCCTTTTGACTTGCATACTGGAAAAGTCAGTTTGTTGCACTTTGTCTTCAGATGATCTCTGTCTTGAAATGCCCTTAAACCCACCCCGAGCACAGCAGAGCCGATGCTGTGGCTAAGGCCTGGGCTCTGGAATCGCTCCAGGCCTCAGCCCAATTCCATCCATCACTGTGGGACCACAAGCCCCTCTTCCTGTGAACCTCAGTTTCCTGATCTTAAAATGGAGACAGTAATAACCCCTTGGTCCTGGGAACAGTGCAAGGAATAAATGAGATTATAGAGGTAAAACGCTTACATCATAGCTCACTATTATTGCTCTTGCTGTTATTATTACTTTATTCTTTTTTATATTTTTTATTGATTTCAGAGAAGATGGGAGAGAAAGAGAGAGCTAGAAACATCAATGATAAGAAATAATCATTGACTGGCTGCCTCTTGCACATCCCCTACTGATGATCAAGCCCACATCCTGGGCATGTGCCCCGGACCAGAAATGAATCGGGAACCCTTCAGTCGCAGGCCATTGTTCTATCCACTGAGCCAAACCAGCACTACTTTATTATTTACTATTCTCATTACTGTTATTATTACCACATAAGCAGCCTACACTACTAACTGAAATCTTCAATAAAAACAGATCCCAATTTCATTGCTGTGCTTCAAAACTATATTTCTGCCAACATTGAAGGCATTCGTGGGGAAACAAATGTTTCTTTTAATGGGCAAAAGATGACACTCATGCCCTAAGCCTCCAGATTCAAAAGTGACAATAAACCCAGTTCAGTTATATCCACCTCAGAAGTCGCAGAAACATTAAGAGGAGCAATGAGTCAGCTACCTTCATCAGATAACTACAGACAGCGTCCTTTCAATGAAACGCATCTGCAAACATAAAAAGGTGAATAAGAAATCCACATGGCTCTCCCGTTCCAAAGATCTCGGGCAAAGAACTCAGCCTGACAGCATAAGTTAGGGTCAAAGTACAACTCCGACATTGAGGCTTCAGCTGTATTCTCTCCGCATGGATGGAATTGCTATCACTGCCCTGGAAATGAGTCTGTATGTCTTCTTTTGTTATGCGGAGTTTTTACATAAGATGCAGACATTACTGTCTCAAAAGCTATTTTTAAACGTTGGCTCATTCAGTAGGTACCAGCATAGCTTTTCCCAGTGATTTAAGTTTCACTCCTCTGGGTGTAGAGAATCACATGTGTGTGTTTGTGCATTTCTTTCTTAGAGACTGAATGCATCTCTGCCTGTGAGCGTGGAGGTTTACTCTGCTCTGCATAGTTTTCAGGTGACAAGGTTTTATCTTAGCAGTAGAATATACTGTAGGGGCCCATGTTTCATTCATAGATGCTAATTTGACTATGTCCTAAACATGGTCGTGTTTAGTCAGTTTACACTGGACAGTGTGTTTTATCAGAGACACCAGCCGACCACCACCAAGCAGAACCCCTTGAACCAAAATATAACTAGCCCATCTAACCGGCATGACACAGTGGTTGAGAGTCAACCTATGAACCAGAAGGTCAAGGTTTGATTCCCAATCAGGGCACATGCCTGGATTTCAGGATCAATCCCCAGTGTGCGGTAAACAGGAAGCAGCTGATCAGTGATTCTCTCTCATCATTGATGTTTCTGTCTCTCTCTCCCCCTCTAACCTCTCTCTCTGAAATCAATAAAAATACATTAAAAAAAAAAAAACTGACCCATTTCCAGGGCAGTGATAGCAATTCCAGTATGTCCAAATCTCAAAAACAAACAGACAGGACTCTCAGGGCTCCAAAGAGAGGATTTTCACTTTTGAGCATATTGAAATGTACTCATTTGACATATAAACATACAACCAAGACATTCTCCGTACTGAATTAGGCAGTTTATTAGGCTCCTAATGTCCATGTCTAGAATGTGAACATGGATTTACATGCATTGTCTCATGTTGTGGATCTTACATGCATGTTGCCTTCGGTCAACTGGGCCTTGGATTCTACTTGTCAGTAATTGATAGCTCAATGTGAGTAAATGACAAACACAGCATGATACATAAGCCATAGCAACAAATCCCACCCAATCCCACTTATCTTTTTTTTTTCCAAAAGCATATCACAACTCTCTCTTGTAAAAATAAATTTCAGAACAAGGCATTTAATTCACTTCACCGAGAAAAATAAAGACGATTCTATCACTTCAGAGCAATGAAGGTCCAACTTATGGCTGAAAGATACGCCCTGAGAAGTAAATGATTTTAACGAACCCATTGAGGTTGATAAAGCTGTGTTAACCTATCGTCGCGAAGGGACACCAGAGCAGGCACAGATGCCCCTGCTCATTTGGCTGTGCAGTTCTCCAAGGACACCATGTTATACACATCCTCCTCATCTTCAATGCTTGAGGCATCTGTGGAGTCAGGATCCGCCACCACAATTCCCACAGGAGAGAGACTGCTGATGAAGGCCTGCATCTGCTGGGCATAGATGTCCCTGATGTTAAAGTAAGGGAGCTCACGCCCCTTCTCCTGCGGGTCCTCGCTGCACGGGTCCACGTCAATGTCCTTTTGCTTCTGGTAGTACTTGGAGAACTTGTTGAAGATGATGGTGATGGGCAGGGCCACCACCAAGATGCCGCAGATGATGCAGGTGCTGGCAATCAGCTTCCCGGGCACGGTGACCGGGTGGGTGTCTCCGTAGCCCACAGTCGTCATGCTGATGGTGGCCCACCACCAGCAGATGGGGATGCTGCTGAGGCTGGACGTGTCGTCGTCTTTCTCCACCGAGTAGATGAGCACAGAGAAGATGGAGATGCCCACGGAGAGGAAGAGCAGCAGCAGCCCAACCTCGTGGTAGCTGTGCCTCAGCGTGGCACCCAGAGACCGAAGGCCTACGGAGTGCCGGGCAAGTTTGAGGATTCGGAAAATCCTCATCAGCCTGAGGATCTGGACCACCTTGCCCATGTTCTCAATGTCCTCACTCTCTTCCTCCTTGGTGTCTACGGCCAACGTGGCGTAGAAGGGAATGATGGACACGAAGTCGATGATGTTCAGAGGGTGTTTCCAGAATTTCTTCTGACAGGGAGCAGCCATGAGCCGGATGGCGAGCTCGCTGGTGAACCAAGCAATGCAGGCAATCTCCACCCCTTCCAGCACCGGGTCGTCCACCTCCCCATCCTCGTTCTGGAACTCGGACATGCTGTGAATACACATGGCCACGATGGAGGCCAGCACCACACTCAGGGAAGAGATGGCGATGAGCTTGGCGGACAGGCAAGAGGCTGGGTTTTCCATGCGGATCCAGATCTTCTTCCGGAGCTGGCCCATTCGCAGCTTGTCAAACTTCTCCAGCTCCTTCTCGAACAGAGACGACTCTTCGAAGGACGAGTCGGTGCTCACGTCGTTGCTCTTCTGGTCCCAGTCCTTCTCATGGGTCTCCTCCTTGCGCTCCTGGTAGCGATTGCTGCAGCAGGAGTCGATGAAGAGCTCGTTGATGCCCCAGTACTCGATCTCCTGGCAGAAGGAGAACACGCACAGCTCCTCCATGACGTGCAGCTTCCCCGTGTAGTAGAAATTCAGCACGTACTGGAACAAGGAGGGGTTCCGGTCGAAGTAGTACTCTTTGTCAGCCACGCTGTAGTCATCGCACAGCTCCAGGATGGCCTCTTCCGAGTGGCAGGTGAGCAGCTTCCCGAGTCTGGTGTGCGGGAAGCGCCGGAGGGTGCTCTGGTCCACGGACTGCTTGAAGCCCCCCACGTTCAAGTTGACAAGTTCCTCGTCTGATCCAGGGCGATGGAAGAACTCACCAAACACCATGGTGGATGCAGGGGGCGGAGAGCTGGCCGGGCAGGGAGACGAGGCAGGTCACGCTGCACCTGGAAGGAGCACAAGACAACATTAGCGCTGCTCCTCACGCCCGGCCAAGCCTGTTTATCACCTGCCCTCTCCTGGACGGGCCACCTTAAAGGCCCAAAGCCTGGGGTTCATAAACCCATATTCTAGGAAAAAGAAAAAAGGGCCATTCTTATTTCTTATTTCTCTATTTTAAAAATGCACCTTCCACCCTCCCCCAAAAAAGCAATGCATTTTAGATCACTTACATGACACAAGCATCTCCAGCTGAGGCGCCATGTTTGGGAATGCTCAGTGCCGATGGGATAAGCTTGTGCCGTCCAGCTTGTAGCTCATTGCTCCTGGTCCCCCAGGCTCTGCCATGCACCCTCAGAAACAGCTCCCCCTCCTCTGCTCTGCACCTTGTCCCCAACCCACACGTCACCAGGGGCTCAGCTCCGCACTCACCAAAGAGGTAGGCTTCCCCTTCTGTTCCAGTGACTCACTCCTTTAAGAGAAAGCCCTGATCCCGGTGCTTGGAGTGGACAATCAAGAGGATATCATTACCTCCCTGTCCTTAAGCGCCCTGCGTCTTAAAGGTATCGTTACACGTCATGGGATGGTGTTTCAGGTGACCCCCGGGGGAAGAAACCTTTTTAAGTTAATTGCACTATCGGTTTCCTGTCACAAACACTCTCCTACTTCCTCTGGCCCCTCACAGACGGTCTCCCACACACTCCCAGTCTATGGCACCCAAGTCAATGGCCCAGTACACACAGCCTGTTTTAAGTCCTGATACTAACCAGGATGGACCAGACCCATTTCTCAGAGAGAAAATAATAGATTTTGAGCATAAATAAAACAGAGACAGGAGATTGTCATATGAGCTGAGCAACAAGAGAAAAGGGAATTCTGGACATGGGCACCAATGTGTATGCAAAAGCCACTCTGTGCTAGGTAAGTCCTCACTTAATGTTGTTGATAGGTTCTGTAACATGAAGTGAAACAACATGTAACAAAACCAATTTCACCAGAGGCTAAATTGATAGAAGCAAGAGTTAAGTTCCCATGGCATCTGATCAAAGCAGTAACAAAATGAGATTGAAGGAAATGATGCTGAATAACCCTCTGAAGATTAGTAGGCAAGACCACCAAACAATCTTAACCAATGAGTAGACATGGTTGTATTTGTGATTGTGACTTAGAAAGACCCCACCATCTCAGGATAGAAGATTGTGGGGGGACAGGCTGGGGCCAAGGAGACAGGACTGCAAGCAAATAGGGAGGAGGTGAGAGGACCCAAACTCAGACAGCAGTGCTGTGTAAAGGAGGAAGTGACAAATTAAAGCGAAGTTTATAACGTTTAAAGGATGACAGTTCTTGGTGATTGACTGGAAAGAAGAGACAAGGAAGCTGAAAGGGTGTGCTTTCTACTCTGCATAAGTGAGTGGATGGTGACACCATCAGAGGAGGAAACTGCTAGAAAGGAATTTCCTTCTTTTTTTAATAATTTTTTTTATTGACTTGAGTGAGAAAAGGTGAGGGAGAGAGAGAAACATCAACGATGAGAGAGAATCATTGATCGGCTGCCTCCTGTACGTCCCACACTGGGGATTGAGCCCACAACCTGGGCATATGGCCTGACTGGGTATTGAACTGTGACCTCCTGGTCCATAGGTCGATGCTCAACCACTGAGCAATAATAGCCAACCCAGAAAAGAATTTTTTTAACCCTTATGTTTACAAAAAGCCAAGGCTGTTGGGAAGACAAGTGCTTTTCACTCAGAAAAGTGCACACCAGAGGACATGGCCTTCTGTCCTCCACCCCTGCAGGAAGCCTACGGTCATCAGGAAGACACGGCATTTCCTCCCAGTTCACCATCTATGTGCTCCATGAAACCAGAGACCACAACATGGCTTGACACACCACTGAAGAGATTTGCTAACCTCTTCAAAAGACATGATATTTTCCCCACCTCTGATTTCTATTTTTAGTTAGATATCTTCTTTGGAGAACCTAAATCAGAGCTAATGGCTTGGTGCAAATATTTATGGAACTTCATCTCTCTGAAAGCAGGCTTAAGCTCATGGCAAGTACAGGAGAGAGGCTCCAAGGAGCTGGTGTGAGCTAAGCCGGCACTAAGACTTTAATGGATGCTGTCTTCTGGCAGATTGCATTTCATCTCCTTGGCTCTCCTGAAAAGCCCCAGCGCTAGAAAGGTGGAGTCTGCCTTCATGTCGATCTCATAATCCTCGGGCATGCAATCTATTTCCCAATCGCCCTACAGTCACTTCTCTCAAGAACACTGATGTCAGCCATAAAAATCTCTCCTTGCTTGTCCTCCTTGCTTTTTATTCACTCCAGGCCAGTGTGAAAGCTCATTACGAGGTCCCTTCATTCCACAAACTCTAATCCTAAGACCACACACATCCTCAAAGCAAAGGTTCTTTCTGCGGGGCTTTCCAAAGACAGAGAAAGGAACACCTCCCTGGACCAGATCAAAACCTGGGACCCTTCAGGCCAACACTCTATCCACTGAGCCAAACCAGTTAGGGTAGGAATAAATTTTTTTAAGTGCTGCAAATTTTTACAAATGAAAATTACAAAATACTATTGAAAGAAATTAAATAAGGCATAAATAAATGGAAAGACATTCCATGTTCATAGATTGGAAAATTTACTATTGTTATAATGGTTAAGACTCCTCCAAATTAATCTATAGATTCAGCACAATCCCTTTTTTTTTAGAAATTTATAAGCTAATTCTAAAATTCATATGGAAATGCAAAGGACCCAGAATAGCCAAATGATCTTGAAAAAGAAGAACAAATTTAGAAGATAGATAATTCATTATTTCAAAACTTGCCACAAAATTATAGTATCAAGAAGGGTTGTACTGGCATAGAACAGTCAGGTAGATCAAGGCAACAGAATTAGAATCCAGAAATGAGTCCATAATGGTCAACTGATTTTCTAAATGAATGTCAAGACATCCAATCTTTTCAACAAATGGTTTTGAGACAATTGGATGGCCATGTGTAAAAGAATGAAACTAGATGTCTACCTCACATTGTATACAAAAAATTTAACTTAAGCCCTCGTCGGTTTGGCCCAGTGGATAGAGCGTTGACCTGAGAGCTGAAAGGTCACAGGTTCGATTCTGGTCAAGAACGTGTGCCAGGGTTATGGGCTCGATCCCCAGTGAAGCACTTGCAGGAGGCAGCCGATCCATGATTCTCTCTCAGTATGGATATTTCTATCTCTCTCTCCCTCTTCCTTCCTCTCTGAAATCAATAAAAATATATTTTTTAAAAGTTTTTTAAAAATTGAACTTAAAATGGATCAGAGACCCAAAACCATAAACTTTCATAAGAAAACTGTTAAATTTTCCTGAACTTGGATTAGGTAATACCTTTTTAGATATGATTCCAAAATCACAATGAATATAAGAAAAATAGATAACTGACTTCATCAAAATTAAAAACGCTATGATTCAAAGGATACTACCGAGGCAAAGGCCGCGTACCAAGGGGCTTGTGCGCTACTTTTCACCCTTCAATCCCCAGCAATGTGTGCAGTGCCTGGACACTAGCAGGTATCACTGAATGAATGAATTGTGTCCTATAATTCTCGAACAATCCAAAGATCTTATACCCCCATGTGGCAAAGAGGGAATCCAGAGACTGAGTTTAGGCAACATTATCCAGCTTTTATGGAGCAGACTCTCCGCTTTGCCTCAAAAATGAGTATTTAATTGTTTTTTTCATAAAGTGGGAGGAAGGAGGGACTGGGTGATCTTTGAATGTACTAATTTTATTGGTCATCCTTATTAAAGAATGCCATATGCTTTGGTAAGAGATTTTTGTCACTAGCATGCCAAGGGCACACAGGGTCTCAAATCGGGGACATCTGTGGATACAGAAGGCATTTGGACACAAGGTAGAAGAAGCCATTACTTTGATTCTCTTCCTCAAGAACAGGTTAGGCCCCTGCTACTGCCAATCCAAATCACGTGCCGAGGACACTATAGACTGTATTTGGCCACCTTGTGCCTCTTGGTGTTAGTAAGATGAGAAAGAAAGACAAAGCTGTCAAAGGTCTAAGATATTTACTGGAAGCTTAAAAGAAAAACTGCATTGGTCCACTTCTCTCCAAGTGATACCTGCACAGCCTTTTCAAAGCCATTAATCTCTTACCTTTCTCCACTTTTTGTTCTCAAGCTCACTTGAAGAGCACTCTCAAAACTGGGTACATTCCAGACTGACACATGTGCATTGGTGTCTTTGACAAGCACTTGCTTTGCTCAGAAAAGTAACACAAGTATAACAAATCCAAGCCAGTTTTTAATTGGGTAAAACCCAATTAAAAGTCAATTTTTAAAGTCAATTTCACAAAAGGAAATGGAAATCTAGATTCCTTTTTCTTCCCACTCTTCCAAAATCTACACTAGTCCTTTCATCAAAGGGAAAAAGGGGCATTTTTCTGCATTGATACTGCCATCTTTTTTTTTCAGCACATCCTTCTAAACAAGCTGCATTTTATTCTATTAATTTTTTTAATCATTTATGTCTTTTAAAAGGGTAGGTCATATTAACTTCTATTGCTGTCCATGCCATGTGAGAATATTCCAAATAAAACCAAGAAAATGTAAAGAGAATTGAAAAGCTAAACCCAATCTAAACCCATGAATTGAGCTTCCCTATTGCACCAGGCACCTTCCCCAGCAATGACCTTCTCTTATAATGAGACCACGGTGTACTGGCATGGGTCACATGTAAATGGAAGAGAACATCAGAAGTCAATGTTTGGGCCAAAGGACAACACACAAAATGTCAATGGGGTCACGTAGTCCACCCTATCTGTGAACTTGGAAATGAAGATGCTAGTGGTCCTTGGTTCAGGCCTTCAGTGTTTTTACTACAGCTAACAGTGCAATTCTGAAAAAGAAATAGCTGTTTATGAGGTACATATAAACACATGCCCA